ATCAGATAATCGGATAATATAGACACCTTTAGAACTCAATGTTTTTACTTTTCCCCTAATGGTACTTTCTTGCCTGATCCTACCCTGTATTGTACTATCGTTAGCAGTCTGGTATAATTTACAATTACTTGTCGAGATATCTCATACTGGTTCATGTTATTAGTCAGTTTGTTACTTGACCCACTACTTTCCACCGGATGATGACACATACTGGTATACTACAGTTGAAAAATTAATTACAAGAGCATTTTGAGAAAAAATTTGTGTCATCTTTGATATTTCTTGGGGATTGAAATTGCTTCCTTCCTAAAGTTTTTCTCCTCTCTTAGTCTAAATATGATTCGGATATTATTCAGCAAGCTCGCATATCAGATAATCGGACAGTATAGACACCTTTAGAACTTAATGTTTGTTACTCTTCTCCTAATGGTACTTTCTTGCCTGATCCTACCCTATATCGTACTATCGTTGGCAGTCTGATATAATTTACAATTACTTGTCGAGATATCTCTTATGCGGTTCATGATATTAGTCAGTTTGTTACTTGACCCACTACTTTCCATCGGGATGCTATTCTTCGCATTCTTTGGTATCTTTGGGGGTACTCCATACTCTACATCAGAGTCTATTGTTTTCTTCCCTCTCTTCTCTGAAATTGAGAGCTTATTCAGATGCTGACTGAGCTTGTGAATCTATGGATCATAAGTCTACCACTAGTTTCAGTCTCTTCATTGGTGATAACCTTTATTTCATGGAAAGTAAGAAGCAAACTGTTGTTGCTCGTTCCTCAGTCGAGGCTGAGTATTGTGATATGACATCTACTACAACTAAGATATTCTGGTTACATTGGTTGCTTGTTGATCTTGACATCTCTCTATCTGCTCTCACACCTATTTATTGTGACAACACTAGTGCTATTCGAATTGTCCATAACTTAGTGTTTCATGAGCATATAAACATAGTGAAATTAACTGTCACTTTTGTGCGACATCATCTTCAACTGGACACTATATCTCTTCCTTTTCTTCCTTCTACCATATAGTTGCTAAATTTAGTTACGAAGCCTTACACAATAGCACGCTTTAACTTTTTGCTTAACAAACTCTTGATGTTCTATACTATCACTTCATGAGTTTGATGGAGGAGGTTAGAGTATATTTAGAGAATTAATATAATGGGTACTATAGTCATGTACTTTATTTTGTGTTACCCTCCTATATAAGAGTTCCTATTGTGTATTCTTTTTGTTGGGTTGTAACATACTTATGGAGTTGCGTTAACATTTTCTCTCATTTCTTTTTCGTTCTCTCCTCTATAATCAATGTTTTCAAAAACATAATTGGATAGCTAGACAGATTATCGGCAATACTGAGACAACCAAGTGGATCTCTCCCTTGTTGGGATGATGTCACTAATGGGTGTGTTGCCCATTTGATTGTGGACTTGTGGTGGTGCCACGAGTGTGTTGTCTACATAGTGATGGTGATGGTGCTAGGCGGTGGAAATGTAGACACGGTGTCAAGGCAGTGGAAATTTAGAGCCGCCGATGCTAGTGATCTTGGATGTGAGTGAAAGAGATAAACACAGAGATCAATAGGTGATCAATGGTGATTAAGTGCTATATGGTGGAAATGCGTAGTGTTGGTGATCATTGGCAAAAAAAGGTATAGGTGATATGGCAAAAAAGGTATAGGTGAAATGCGTAGTGTTTGGTTAATTGAAATAGAGGGACAGGTTAGGTGACAATGAATGTTGGGTCCTATGCAGCATGTATGTGTGTGAAAGAGAAAAAGGGTGGGAGGGGAGAAGATGGGCGACCATGTTAGATGAGGGAGGTTGCGACTATGCATAATGATGGGGATGGCGTTGATTGGAGAGAGTTTGAGAGTGGGGTAAGGAAAATAATGTGTTTGGCGATAGGTTAAGTTTGCCGAAAGTCATTCTTATTAGGCTTTAGGTGACCATACTTAGGTTTGGATTGGTTGGTTCTAAAGGCAAAATTTTACTGCTGCTAACCGTCATCTGTTCGCATTTTTTGAGATGGGGTATTAGCGTATTAGAAAGAAGAGGATACCCCTTGAAATTAGTGTAAAAATAGGTGATATTGCATACCAAATGAACACCTAACATAAGGAAATAAATTTTATGGCAAGTAATTTAGATGCCTAGTAATATTATTAACTAGTTAATACACAACTCGACTTAACTTTAAAAACCTCACACCAACTAATTGGGGTTCGCTACTTGAATCATGTTCCTCCATTATACTCTAAAGAGGCCATAATTTTCGTTAAACCACAATCTATCCATTTTCAATATTAATTTTGATCTACCTTCACATCTCACATTAATATCACTAATCCAAAGTTAAAACTAACTAATTATTATTACTAAACAATTTTCATATTGAATTTGTATGGGAACAGAAAAGAAAAATGGAGTTAATACCATTTTTATGAGGTAAATAATATCCTGTTTAATATCCTGCATATGATATTACTAGTCATATTCGGTGCCTGAACGCACGAAGAAACATAAAATTCGAGTGACCAAAAAATCAATCCCACTATATTAATAACAATTTTTTCCCTCATTTATTTGATTACATCATTTAATTTATTTTTATTTATTTTCTTAAAAATATCAACAAAATTTTCTCAAATACATAATCCGACAAAATTTTTTTTCAACATGTGTATACTATCGTATATAGATAATATCTGAAATAAAAATTATGTTAAATTAATTAAATATTAAATGATTGAGCATTTGATACGATAGGTAATGTGATGAAATTAGGGGAAAAAATATGTAGAGGATAAAATTCAACTTCCCATGTGATTTATTATATAGATATTCAAACTAATGTCCAAGACACTCTTTGGTCATCTTTTTTAATAAAAAAGCCATCTTTGTGGCTATTCCCCCCCCCCCCCCTTCTTTCTCTAATTTGTACTTATGTATCTTTAGTTTACTTATTAGATTAACATTTGTTTGGGTAAACATGTATCATACATTCATATTAACAAGTTTATCTCTTCTCATGACAAGTGGTGTTTTAATGGATCTCCTCTCAGTCCTCTCACTTTAGCTTGTAAGTTTTACATATCTCAAGTTTTCCCTGTTAATAATTGCTCTAACATCCCTCTTTCTCTCTCCTCTTGAGATTATTAAACGAAGAAAACCCAAAAAAAAGATGGGATTTCATGCATTGAAATTTATTTGTCTCCAACATATATTACACATATAAAATTAATATAGGACAAATGGCCATCCTTGATATATCTAAGGAAAAGTATACTAATATATTAGAGTAATAGGATTGATGTATCCAACCCCAAAAATTGAGACAAGATTTTGTTGAGTTGAGTTGAGTTAGAGTAAAACTTCTATTCGACAAAATAATTTTTTATCGATCTAGAGGTTATAATACGTGATATTTTGCATTATCTTTTAAAAATTCTAAGGCATAGAAGTTTTCATCTTCGTAAGTTTTAGCTAACTATGGATGTTAGTAGATTTGAATTTTTTAGCTACAGCTAATTAGAAGCTTCCTTTTTAGGTTTTGATAAATGGAATTACATACTAAATTATAAGTTATCTTATTGTCCATCAAATTTTCTTTACCTACTAGTAATTTTCATTATATAAAGTACTTTAGACTTACATTCGTTTTTACCAAGAATCACACTGGCCCATTTCTAATGATTAATGGCGCAAAAGGACAAAGACAATAATATAGAAGCTGCTATGTACCTTGAGATAGTCATTCCACACCGAATTATTGGCAATTATCTTCTTTTGTGCTTCATCCCATTTGAAACCAGCATGAGAAAGGAGTTCCTTTAAAATGCAATACTGTTTCTTCCAAGTTTTAAGACGATTCCTAATATTGCCTCTGGCTAAACCAGGCCCAAATCTTTCATTTAAGGCCGTAACAGCTGTGTCGTATGCTTCACGCCGCAGAATATTGTCTACTTTATAACCCTTTTGCACTTGTTCCACTAGAATTTTACCAAGATAAGAATCCATTTCCTCCGTCCATCTCAAGTTTTTTGCTGGCTTGTCATCACTCAGAATTTCAACTGCAGTCTCTTCAACCTCATTGTCAGGCATCACATCCACATCAACTTCAGTACCATCATCAGAACAGCTTGCTATTGCTTGGTCATTGCCAACAATAAGGGACAGTTCATCATAGTTTTCAACAAACTTAGCACGAAACACCTTAGCATCAGGGTGTACCTGTCAGTCATTTGTGTGTAAATAAATATAAAACTATGGGAATTTCTTAACATCCACAATTTGGATTGAATGTACAATTATATAAGCAAATCAGAAATTACAGCATGGTATGTTGCCAATGGAAGATTGAAATTGAGAGGCATTAGGGAAAATATTACAACATGGTGATAGCCAGTGCCATCAGTACCAATACAAGGGGAAAAATGAATGGTAAATTAAAAATCTTAACTTGGCAAGAAATTTTTCGAAACCAATAATTCCACAAAAATACATTCGTCTCATCCTTTAGTAACTGTCCCATTATTTAACTACAACAGAAAGACAAAATGAAGAAAGTCAAATGTTTTATTTTTTGGTCAGAAGAAAGTCAAATGTCTCAAGAACACAATAATACTGCTTAAGGCATGCAACAGTACCTTTAAGTAGTCATTCCACACAGTATCATTTGCAATAACCATCTTTTGTGCCTTGTCCCACTTAAATCCTTTTTGAGCAAGGATCTCCTTCAAAGCCGCAAATTGCTTCCTCCATGTTTTAAGACGGTTCTTCACATGACCTTTGGCCAAGTCAAGCCCAAACTTTTCGTTTAACGCTGTAACTGCAGCAACATATGTTGCTGTTTTGATAATCTTATCCGATTTGTAACCTTGTTTTGCATGATCAGCAAGTACTTCAGAAAGGCAGCGGTCCATCTCTTTCGTCCATATTATGTATTTCATCTTCTCTTTAGCATTGGAACTCCGAGTATGGTATACCTTACGATGCATTTCTGACAAAATGGATACACAGCAACAGCACCACCTGATTATCAAACAAACAAACAGTACAGTAGGAGACAAGCAATGTCTAACAACCAAAAACCAACCCAGAAAATAAACAGATAATAGTGTCCTCCCCCTTCAACTAGCTATCACAGTGATATGACCAGAATATTGATTCTGAAACAAAAAGAGGATTTCACAAGATGGAGAATCTGCAGGTACAAATTCAACAAATTCACAGACCGGAAGGAGGCATTATAAATTTCCCACCTGAATTAAATGAAACCAGGTTGTAGTCAGGTGAATAGTAGCATCAACAAAATCGGTTCAACTTCAGGGGTGGAGTTTGCGGAGAGACAGTTGACCAGGAAAAAAGAAAAAAAAGAAGAGAAACACAGAACAAGATGGAAGAAAAAAAGAGGCCGTGGAAAGAAGAAAACAAAGACCAACCCCAAACTGATAGAGTGATTTTATGAGAACTAAATTTCTTACTAAAAATGTACATCTTTTTTCAGACAATTGTGTTTATAACAAATCATTTTCTTAAGTTCCGGTTGTTTACAGAACAGGAGACCCATGACTTAGAATTTACGTCAACACCCAAGTACTGTAGGAAGAAAAAGAAATCGAGACCCCCCTCACCACACGGAACAAAATAACCATTACAACTCAAAAACAATGAAAAGTTCTATTCTTAAAACCGTAAACAAATAAAGCAAAATAGTTACCAATGGACCTTTGGTCCAATGGTACTCCTTGTCTTATAAAGGTTTAAGGGTTCAAATCTCCTTCCCCCTTCCCCCTTCCCCTTTCCCCTCCCCCAAAAAAAAATTGAATATTTAAAAATAAATAAATAAATAAATAAAGCAAAATAGGTCAAACTTATTTTCTCTTTACACACCCAGATATATTTACTATATTTCTGCTTTTGTTTGTTTGTAGTGATCTTTTGTGGTTTAGCATTTTGGATGGATGACTTGTCCATCGGTGCCTTCACTCTGTATAACAAGAAATGCAACCTTTTATCATACTTATGATTAAGTACCTCCAAAACCACATGCATTACTGAGCTTGTATTGGTTATGACAGCATTTTTAATTTTGTGCAGTTGTATTTCGCCTAACCAAAGAATTAAGGACATGACATAAAATCACCAGGTCTTCCACCAAATTCTCGTGTGGATATGTGGGTGTTCCAGAAAAAGGGGTTTCAGAAATTACATGCATCAACTTAATATTACAGGCAAAATTATACAAATATAATACATTCCCATTGTTCATCAAAAAGTTTTTTGGGGGAGAACATTGTTCATTCCACAACATATACTTGGTACAAAAATAAACAGGAGTTCCAAAGGCTACCTGGTAAACTATCCATGTTTCAAAAATGCTTTAAAATCTCACGGTTAGTGGTGAATGAGAGAGGGAGACAAGGAGACAAGCCCTTGTTCTCTATTATTATATCAATTTTAAGAGAAGCAACCAAATTAGTAACGTAGGAACTACATGGAAAACCCAAAATGAACTTTATGTGGAGAAAACTACGGTACCAAAAGAAAAAAAATTCGGTACAAACCTCCAAATTTTACAACTTTAATGGTTGCATGATAGCTTTACTTTACATCAAAAAAATTTAAAACTTTTGTGGGTAGGATCGATGTAAGGTACCACAAAAATGGTAAAAAAAATTACTACAAAAGCTATAAAACACCCACAAAAATTATAAATAGCGGTAGAGTACCAAAAAAACTACTCCTATGTTTTAACCTGTCTTCATTGCGAATAAAATGAATAACTCACCTTAGCTAGACAATCTCTCTGACTGGAGGGCTACTATCATTATATATATCCCTCATTCTTTTTAATTTTCCTACAGGTTCTCAGGACCCAAACAAGTATTTGTCATCGAACCCGAAATAAAAAAGTCCCAATAACTTTGATAACCATTATCAAATCAATCAATCGTATAACTTCATTACTTCAAACAGATACCAAACAATCGTTTCGCACACAATTACAAAATAAAGTTAGTTTGACAACGAGTAAGAAGATTACCAGCTCACATCAAACAAAAAAGAAGAAATTACCTGCAATGAATAAAGAGATGGTTGCGGTGGATGCGCCCGAAGACGGGGGTAGTGGTGACGGTGGTTGGGTTTGCTTTCTCCAATTCAGAGGCCAATTTTCCCTTGCATCCCTCTCTTTTAGCAACTTTCCATCGCTTTTTTGAGAAATACACCCAGATCCCTGACATTTGTCACTTAACCATTTATATCTTCTAACATTTAAAATATTATAAATAAATTCCCTAAAGTTTATATTATGAGAATTACACCCAGATCTCTGAGATTTGTCACTTCACCATTTAGATCCTGACATTTAAAATATTATACACAAACTCCACAAAGTTTGTATGCACGTACCACTTAGACTTTTAATAAATTATACTTAGACCCCTAAAATCATAAGTATGTAATATTTAGACCCCTCAAATTTAAAATGTTATATTTAGACAAAAAATCATCCAATCAAAGATAGAATATCAAATATTTTAATGTTTATAACCAAAATTTATATTCTATTATATCATTTATTGATATAAAATCAAAAATAAAAATATAATTTTTTCTTTAAAAAATCATAATAAGTATATAATTATACTATCTATTAAACGACCAAACTTTTTCAATTAAAGATAAAAGATATTGTGTCCATTATAGTTTGACCATTTATTTATATTTATATAGTATAATTGTATACTAATTATGAATTTTTAAAGAAAAATTATATTTTTATTTTTCATTTTATATCAATTAATAAATAGAACATGAATTTTTATTATAAAATTCAAAATATTTGATATTGTATCTCTAATTAAAGTATTTTTTGTTTAAGTATAATATTTTAAACTTAAAGGGTCTAAATATATCTAAGTACAATTAAAGGTACAAGATATTGTGTTCATTATAGTTTGATCTCTTATTTATTTTTTTAGTTTTTTTTATATAATTGTATACTAATTATGATTTTTTTAAGAAAAAATAAATTTTTATTTTTGATTTTGTATCAATAAATGACATAATATATCATGAGTTTTAGTTGTAAGATTTAAAATATTTTATATTTTATCTTTGATTAAAGTATTTTTTTTATCTAAGTATATACATATTATACGCATACAAATTTCAAGGAGTTTAGTTATAATTTATTAAACAGGTGTTTTACGCCCGTGTAAACTTTATGGGATTTATATGTAATATTTTAAATATTAAGGGTATAAATGATTAAGCGACATTTTAGGGTCTAAGTGTAATTCTTTTTTAGATTAATTAAGGATAAATTACTCTCACACCCTCTAAGATATGAAAAATAGTACGACTGTATCTAACGTTTTCAAAAATGGCACGGGATCCATTTACTTTTAATAAATTGTAATAATTTAGCCTTTAAGAGTATGGTCAAAGAAAAAGTATAGTCATTAGTCACCCAATCTTTTTTTTTTTTCTTTTTAAACTCACAAGAATGTAGGACTCGTAAATTTATTTTATTATTTTCATGATCAACCTTACAAATTGATTAACAAAAGATCTATGACTACAAATTATTTTTTGATAAGAAACTAAAAATTTCCTTTTAATCCCATAACATTGTCCTTAAAGAATAAAGGTAAACGTGATAACCAAAATTATACCTAAAATACTATTATTGCTCCTCTCGTTATCATAATAAAATGTAAAAGGCAACTTATTGAATCTTAATAAATAATTAAATTTAGTATTAAGTGTGTATTTATTAATCCAAATTCAGAACTTAAAATTAATGTAATTGTTTCTTATTAATTAAATATGTTTGATAACTAAAACTAAGATCACTTAATATGTTAAATGATCCTTAAAAATAGACTAAAATATTAAAAATGAGATCTCTTATTTAATTTTGGAAGCTGAAAAACAGAAACGTATTTTATCATTTTTTGAATATGACATATTTACCTTGAAATGTTTAACGATCCTTTCTTCCTCTTATTTTCTCCTGTTCACACACACACATACATAAAATCATATGCAGACACACACATACACATAGGGGTGTCCATGGGTCGGGTTAGGCTGGGCCTGGATAGTATAGGCTCAAGCTCTTACTCGGGCGAGTTATTGAGTGGACCAGATTGAACTTCGGATAGGAGTAGACTACCCGCAACCCAACCTACCACCTATAGGATAAGCTTGCCGACGGGCTTGTTGGGTGAGCCTTTTATATACAATTTTATTTAAATTTATTTTTGTAAATTATATTTTTGAATTAAAAGTATAGTCAAAATCAAAATGGACAAAAATTAAATAATGAATAATTTTATTTATGAATAGGTAAACAACTGCATCACAATAGAACGAACACATTCTAACTTGGTTGACACCTACCTACCTATATATTATTTGCACAACTCTACCCATTAAAGCATGTATGTTTAATCTTACTACGTATAAAAGTATGTTAGGATGAATTTTTTTTGAATTCCAATATTACCCTTATCTAATAATATAAGGTCTATTTTATCCTTCATGCTTAAATTTTAGACCATACAATTTCTAGGACTAAATATTCAGATCATACAAATTCCGGGACTAAATATTCATTAATTAATATATTTCATGTTCTTCCTTCTTTAACTTGATGGCTTTACGAATTTTGCAACTTAATGTTCTTTAACGTAACAATTATCACGAAAAAGGTTTCTACGAATTACGTAAAGCTACGTTGTAAATCCTTTAATACAAACCTGAGACTCATCACATGGCCTTGCATTAACCCCTATAATTTTCTACTTTTCATTACCAAAACATCAAATTGCTCTACTAGACACCCATCATTCTCGAATGCAACCTAAATTTCTAGGACCAATAACAAAGATAGGCACTATCATACACAGCTCAAGGACTTGAGGCAGGATCTTTGCACCAAAGGGAATGGGAGGGCGGGATTCTTGAACTAAATACTATTTATCAATTTGTTTTTTTATCTCCATCTCCTTGATTTATGTGTAATCATTTTTCTGTGTAAAGTATGTTTGTACAATATGTGGACAAATCTCATTTTTCAACTTTATGCAGATTTCAATTAGGAACTTTTTTAAAAAGATTGTGCAGATTCTAATTAATTGGTGCATGAGAAAGTTGTAGCTACGTTAATTACAGAGTTAAAAAGTTGTGGATAAGATATGAATCTTAGAAGGTAACTAATTTTATGAAATTTTCAAAGAAACTTGGTGTTTATTTTTCCAGCATTGTGTTTCAAATTGAAATTTAAGGTTCTTTTGCGTAGGTATGTGAAAAAAGTAGGCGTTGCGATAATGACCAAATGTTTGACAAGTGACAAGGCCTCTCAAGACAATGGAGAAGGCACATATGATGTTTGTGTTCTGGATGGAGTTGAAGGCTATTGAGGTTTTCTTGGTGGTTTATTTATGCAGTGTGTTTTCAACAATGCAATCCAGTGAGAGCATAAAATGGTAATGTTCCGTGAATGTAATTCATTTTCCTTCATAGCAGCTTGTCTATTTTATCCTTCATGTTCTAGGCAACTCAACATAGCTCATGAGGACTATAAATATTTTATGGATTTGATGAGAAAAGATTCAATTTTATAGTGGTTTGTCTTTGCTTTGTTCAAAAGCTTTACTTAAAGTCACAAATCTTGAAGTGCATTATTTACATGAAAAAGCTTTGTAGTCTAGCTTGCTTGGGTAGATATGTTTTTCAACTTCTAATTTCATTGGAGTTGGAATAAATGGCATTGAATGTTTATCTTTATATAAGTGAAAATATGTAACACCCCAAAATCCATCTTAGACGACATTACAATCTAAAAATCATTCACATCATTAGAGCAACTAAATAAATTCATCATTAAAGAATATTTTATTCATCAAATATAACATGTACAATATCATCCCAAAAGAATAGGTCAACCATGACCATTACATCCCAAAAGAATCAACTATTTTCTCGCAGCAAAATAAACAAAAATACATCTATTAATGTACCAAAATATTTTTCCTAATCTAAAACATGGAGAGGTCAACTCTAGACATTCCCCTCGAGATCCACGCTTTCCTCCAATTGGGCTTCTCAAGCCACTTGCTCATCAACTTCGAGCTTTTCCTCTAAACTGACATCTGAGAATGAATAATATTATAGGGGGTGAGCACTAAGCTTTGTAGCAACATCCTCCCAAGCTCGAACAAGATTTAGAAAATATGTAAAACAAGTCGGTCTTATTTTGCAAATATCATATATTAATTTTTGAAAGAAAACAGGAGCATTTCAATAGATCTCAAGTTTACACAATAGCAATTAAGTGAAGTAATAATGTCAAGTTACAAATAATAAATCATTTCCAACCATAAACAATTTCTCACAAGTTCTTGTAGAATCTCATATTTCCACAAGTTCTTGTAGAAAACCGTTTTTGGTACAATAAACCATAAATCCACAACTTGTATTCGTATCTCAGGTATGATGTATGATTTGAATGAATAAACACATCGAGAATATTCTGACCCACACATATACCCAAATCCTCGCAAGGATATCCAACCTTTAGGAAGAACGTATACCAACTCATGGCAATGACGAATTTAACCCAGGAATAGTATACTAACCTTCAGCCTCGTTAACACATGAGCGAATAGTGGTTTGGTCCTTGTAAGGCACGAAGTAAGAAATGCATCTAACTCACTTTACGATATCCGATTAACGGCCATCCATGGTCATCCAAACATCCACAAGAGATATAATATTCAATCAATTTCTCCAATCATAAATACATTCAAAAATCCCCAAATTTCACAAGTAGTATTCCAATAGAACAATTTAAGAAAATATGCAAGAGATCATCATAAATACCATTATGTGATTCAATATAAAGCACTAAAGTTTTGAAATCAAAAACAAAGGAAAAATCAAGAGAAAAATTCATTTCTCTTGAAAACTAGGGTTTTGAGTCAAGAAGAGATTTAATGGTTATTCCATCATAGATTAGTTTAAAACATGATAGTGTTTGCACGAATATCAAGAATCAATAAAATTGAAAAAACATGATAGTGTTTACTAACAAATAAATAAAATTGAAAGTCAAAAGAATATATATAAGTAAACCCTAACCTCAATGTAAGAGAATAGAAAGAATCTCCTACCTTGGTGTTCTTGCAAAAACTAGGGATTGATCCAATCCAATGTGCAAATTTCCTTTAAT